CTCTTTAGTTTTATTGTCTTTCATGCATTGTTATAATCAATCAATTAACAACCTGTTCATACGGGTGGTGCTGGTGTCAACCCCAATTGTACCCACTAAGCCTCCTTAGAGAAGGGCTATAGAAGGACTATAACCCCCCTGCCCCCCTCTCCCCCATAAGTATATGACTGTGTAGATTCTGGTAGTTGTTTTCTCTTGCTTATTTTAAATCTTTTTCCCTGATACAGGAGTTCAAAGTGCAGAAAGAGAATCTGAGAGGTTAAACGAACAGTTGAAAAAGGAAGGGAAATTGCTGCGAGAATTTCAGTCACGTGAAGATGATCTCAGAGAAGCTATGAGCGCCAAAGATTCGCAGCTTGCTGTTCTCAGAATACGAATCCAGGAAAGTGACCAAGAATTACGAGAAACCAAGCAAAAACTGGGAAGATTTCAGAATGAAAATGAAAGGTGAGTGAAAGGAAAACAGGAAGGATATGAAGTATGAACCCAATATTGCCATCGTCAACAGAAAGTTGACTACTTGACTCAAGATGGATTCGAATCTGAATGTTGAAGTGTTTTTGTAGATACGTTACAGTATATACATTTTTATACCTGACCAGTAGCTGTTACGAAAAATGCATCTACAGCCTTTCAGCAGGAGTCGAATCTGCGGCCCCGCGATTCCGATGCAGTGCTCTAACCACTGAACTATAGAGAACGGTTACCGACCTAAAAAGTTGACTCAAGCCACATATTTAAACTTGCATATTCAGCAGGGCTCGAAATAGCGGGCTGCCAATGGCCAAAAGCAGGCCATATTTAAAAAATGGCAGACAAAAACAAATTTGAACTGCCAGGTAAAAAAAAAATGGCAGGTGATATTTCTATAGATATATTTCATTTCATTTGCTTACCACAACTCGTATATACTAGATCATATAGTTGACTATAAATACGTTTATATTTGAAATTTAAATCCAAGTTTACTGTAGTAAAATGGACAAGTTTAAAAATAATAAAAATGCATATCATGAAAACATTGATTTTTACAATGATTTATATGAGACATCGCCATTTTGGAAGTTCAATGAATAAAAATGGCAGACTAAAATTTATTTCACCTGCCAAAAAATTTTAGATTGGCAGGCCATATTTGTTCTCTACTTCGAGCCCCGATATTCAATGAATCGAGTTTGTAGATGTACGCTTTACCCAATAAAAAATTGTAATGTCGAGTCAAGTGGATTGAGCTTAATGAAATAAAATTCGAACATGAATTGAAATTTTCATGATAGACTTATTGCACTTGATTGTACATGTACCAGATTCGCATCGGAGCGACATCAAATTTTACAGTTTCAAGGGGAGTTTAGCACTCAAATTACGATAATATAACAGAATTAGTCAAAAACGTCAAATATGAAAACTTGTAAGAGGTCGAAAAACGTCTTAGTTGATGTCGCTCGACTCGCTCCGATGCGAATCCGGTATCGTGTAACTGGGGCCTTATTCCAACTAAACCTTGATTATATTCGTTCCCAGAATACTTCGTGATCACAGCGACTCAAGTGGAATTCAAAATCAGGTGTTGGAAGACTTGAGAGTGAGGCTACAAGAAGCTGTGTTATCGTTGAAGCATGAACAAGAAGCACATCAGCAATCTAGGGTATACTTCACTGTTTACTGACCTACAAAGCTATATATTATAGACTTTAATGCGAAGCCATATATCATTTGTAATGTTTGTTCAAATTCTTTTGCATATAGTTTGTTTAAATTTAGTTTGTTAATTTGTAGACTGAAAGTTCAGAACGTCAAAGCAAGTTGGAAAGTGAACAAAGATCCATGGCGGAAACTGTGAAGGCACTACAGAAAAATATTGTGGAAGAAAGACGTATCTTTTCATCTTGTTTAACCCTTGTTTAAATTAACTAATTTTTTTATTGTTACAACCTGCAAACAAGTTGTAAGCATAATAAGGTTGTTGGCAAGCCGAGATCAGGATGTTTTTGCATTCCTTGTTTCCAGTTGTTGTGACAAATCTGGAACAAGTTGTTAGCACCTTGTTACAAGGTTGATCACGGCAACAGACTTGCTAGACGTTTTTCCAACATGACTAATACAGGCTGTTCGTAACAAGTTGTTATGAGCTTGTTGTCATCAACTTGTTATTATAATAACTTGTTACGTGCAGACAATATTATACTTGTTGGAACAACTTGTTGCGAGGCTGTTGGCCTCATCAGTTTGTTACAAGATGGTAACAACTTGTTCCAAACTTGTCAACAACTAGGAACAAGCAGTGTGAACACATCTTTTTGACAAGCTGTGAGATTTTTAACGCGTGTACACGCGTAGCAAGTCTGCCAACAAGCCGTCGACAAGTTGTGTTTCCACTGCTTGTCCCACGTTGTCAACAAGTTTGGAACAAGCTGTTAACAACCTTGTTGATATTATGGTTGTTGCAATATGTCCGATACAGTCATGATATAACAATAGGGACCTTTAGCAAATAGGTGACGGCAACGCGACGACGACGGCCAAAACAAACTCGTTCAAATAAGTAACTTTAAGATCAACATATCTTGTATTATCCGTTGTATGAATTTATTGCAATTTAGAAGGTTAAGACAGAGGTTTATAGTTGAGAAGACTTCTACTAAGCCAATTTGGCGAGGACGACTTCTCGCGGCTTGAAAGGCAGACGTTGTATACAAAACGTGAAAATCTTTGTTTTGCTGTTGTAAACAGAGCAAGGACGACGTCTAAAACTCCCAAGGGACCTTTAGTTATGCATTTTCTTTCTACACTGTCATAAATTTCATTGTGTTAATAGCCGTCGCCGTCCTGCTAGCTAAAGGTCCCTAATATTGTTACAACCTTGTGTTGTCAACTTTGTAACATTCTTGTTATATCATGACTGTATCAGACTTGCTAGAACAACCTTGTAACACGTCTGATAATGGCATCAAGCTTGTTACAAGTTGTTAACAGGTTGTTACAACAACTAGGAACAAGCATTGCGAACACAACTTGTCGACATGCAGCCTGTGAACAGATTTGTAACAACTTGTTTGCAGACCTGTAACAACTCGTGCGTTTTTGCGTGTGTAGGGATCGAACCCCTAACACGTGACAGGCACATGCACTAACCATGGTGTCATAAATACACGTCAAAAATGGTGGAATAATGTTTCCTTGACTGTACTACTTTTAATGACGCCAGGAAACGCAAACGGCTGCACGAACAAATTAAAAGTGTCCGAGAACAAATTATCGAGCGCGAACCAAGAGTTCCGTGACTACAAAGAAAAAGCAGGTCGTATTCTTCAAGCCAAAGAGAAGGTGATAGCTAGCCTGAAAGAGGGTAAAGCGATAGTGGGGGATAGTTCTGGGATCACCGGTGCTGAGTATGAGGCGATGTGTCAGGAGAGAGATGTTTTAAGAGATGAGTTACATCAAGTCAAATATGGCATGGAGCAATTGAAAGTTGATGTACAGGTAATACTCACGCCGTCACCTAAAGCTGACCAGTCAAACGAGGATGAGAGTTGATGATAGTTCAAACTCTCACTCGCGTTTGAAATCCAACTCTCATCAACTGTCGTGCACTCTCATCAACTCTCACGTAACTCTTGTTCTCGTTGAGTGGGGCATGAAAGTTGATGAAACTCGCTTGCCATTCGACCCCTGGTAATATTTACTATAAGTTATACTTTCTGTTTTATCTGTACGCTTGAATACAGTAATTAGTGTTATACTAATGTAGTTTCTTAACTACTGTATATGCCTGCTAACATTAGGACCCTGACAGGGATCTTAATTAAATATTTTTGTTAGGATCTTATTAAGATCTTAGATACAGTATAAGTCTTCTATCTTCTATCTTCAGGATCTGGACAGGATCTTAATTAGCCATTTCCCAAAGTCCTGGGTCTAGTCCCGCGAATCCCATGTTGGAGGGACAAGAAATATGGCAGCACACATTTGAATTAAATGTTTAATGTAAAAAGGAGATATTTCATTTTCGGTTGTCTAAAAAGTTGATATTTGATAGCAGATACTTCTACTCTTTCACATATTTGTCGCCTGTCACCATATATTTTGTCCCTCCAAACGATCCCAGAATGCACTCTGGTCTCTTTTGGGGAAAGGCTAATTAGAATTGCCCTTTGGTAAGGCCCCCGTTTACACTTGCGATTTTCGTCTTCTGATGGATGTGAACGAGTGAATAAGTTATGAATCTTCAGATGAGGGTACATATACTCAGAACATTCATAATACATCTACTCGTTCACATCCATTAAAAGAAGAAAATCGCGCTAGAAATCACAGCGAAAATTGCAAGTGTAAACTGGCCTTTAGGATTTTGTCAGAAGGTATGTACTAGTTGGATCTTGTCTAGGATTCTGCAACTAATAGGATCCTGACAGGATCTTGACTAGGATTCCAGAAACTTTAAAATTTAATATCTTTAGGATATCACAGGGTCCTATATGATGTTATAGGAATCTGTTTAAGATTTCTACCAAGGAATCTGCCGTCGATGGTGGACTTCACGTTTGAGATATCATTCCTATAAATTAGACTCACTGTTGTACAGTACTCTCATCTTTTTGCTTGCATACAGGAATTAGAACAACAGTTGCAGTCGGAAAGTGAAACTGCTGAAGAGCAAACGGAGCATTTACAGTCATTGTTGGATGAAGAAAAACGTTTGAAGGAAGAAGCTAATCATGATGTACTCAAAACACGTGAGGTATAGAAAAGATCTATTTATACGAGATTAAATTTTTTGCGTCTAGTCTTTCCTTTAGCCAACCAATCATAGTTGTATTTTCTTCAACTTTAGGAGCTCCAGACTCTGAGTGATAATCACTACAGGCAAAAGACCACCCTCATCGCACAGATACAGGTATAGGCATGCTAGGCAATGCTTAACAATTTGGCACTGGTTATTCAAACCATGATTAGCGCTATCCCTGTGTCAAAGTTTAATTAACCTGCTTTTTCGGTTTCTGTATTTCTGCACGTTTGTTTTTGAGGAAGTATTGTTTTAGACTGTATGGATATTTTGTTATCGAGGCATGTTTTCTCAAGGTGGATTTTGAAAAAACCCATCGAAAGTCTCTTTCCCTAGACCTTTAATTCCTATGTGGTTTTTTTTCGTGTTTTAGGAAAGAGAAGGAGAAATAGAGAAGCTTAAAAGTCAAGTAAGTTAGCAATGTTGTTAGCCAGTTGTTCAGTTTCAAATACAATATGGTTCTATGATTCAATGTTTTTTTCTCGTAATGTCTTTCTGTATAGTTACTGGCGAAATCCTACAGCACAACAAGCGAAGCAGAACTGGAGAAACGAGTACGAGCTTTGACAGAGAATCTCATTCAAAAACAGACTGTCATTGAAGCATTAAGTACGGAAAAGAGTTCCCTGGTTCTACAGTTGGAAAGACTAGAAGTAAGAGAAGTGTTGAGTATTTGGTGGGCTAATGTTTGCATAGTAGTTGGGGGATGTGCTTTTCACTCATTGCGACTGGGACTCAATTGTTGTACAGTACTATGCAGTTGTCTGGTAGTGCTGTGCAAACTTCGGGGTTTTCACTTCCTGCTTTGGTAAAAAAAAAAAAAACTCCGGCTCCGGCAAATTCGAAATCTGAAATTTGAAATTTCACATTTCAAAGTGGAAGCACTACCTTTGTTTTTTATTTTGACACTTCGCATGAACATTTCGTACTATGCATGTTGCACAAGACAAGAAGCAGTCGCTCGCAAAGTCAATGTGGTTAAGAGTTTTTATAATTAAACTTAACAAAGGGCGCACCGTTTTCTTTTGTTACAATGTTCCCCGCCAGAGAAAAGACTCGCTCAGACGTTACTGACGTGGAATTTACTATTGCGGAATGAAGGAATTTACTCTTCCGTCAGGCATTTTACTGTATATACGGAATAGCGGATTAGCGTAAATTTCCATCCCTGGGCAGTCATACATAGAATACTATATTTACATGTTTGGCAAGCCTACGCAGATCAATGTGAGTATTTACTTTTCGATGGATTCAGGCTTTTTCGCCGATGTCCGACAGTAGTTTGCAGCACAAATAAGTGCTGCCGGAGTTGAACAAACTCCAGCTCCGGCAAAATAGGCCAAAACTCCGGTGCACAGCACTATTGTTAGACTTTCCAAAGTCCTTTCTAGGCCCTTCTATGGCGCGCTTCACTTTGGGTCGCGCGCTCTCTCCCCCGCGCCCTCCCTCCCCCATGGTCGACTTGTGGCAAGCCTACACTATTGTCTGCAATTTCGCCTGAGATGCATATGAGTGCAATGCTTTCATTTTTAGCATACCAAGTACCGCAGGTTTTCGCTCGATATTCCGGTTTCCTCCTTTGGAAACACTGGATTAAGAACTGATAGAGCTGTCCAGCATGAGCGGAACTAGTTTAGCTTTAGTGTTACCCGATTTGTCCCCGAAAACAGTCTGGTGAATTAAAGAACCAAGTCAATATTTCAGTTTCTATGTATATAAGGACTAAGAAATCCTTATCAAATCCAGGTTTTAATGAAAGTAAAATACAAAAATACAAATGGCCAGTCTATTTTTCAGATGCAGTACAAAGACATCCAACGCTCGACATCACGCGTTTCTGTACCAACAACATTTGAGGAGAATGAGGAAGGTACGAATTCAACAGGACGATGCTTATTTCCAGGTGCCAAGTAAATGAAGAAATGAACGTCTAATATTTTTGAATTATGTAAATATTTCAGGAGGCAGGGTGCGTCCAATTACGTCCATAATGCCTTCACAAATCACGGAGTCAGCAAAAGTTCATAAGGCTGTGAACGAAATTGATAAATTCAGGTAAATTTAGGGATCTGTTATAACATTTTACAAACACTCTGTATGTCTAATTATCCCTTTGTTAACCTTTTATGTTTTATGCTTGTGATGTTACTCTGAGTGTATATCCACACCGGGCAAGCTTGAAAATATGCCAGTCCACGCATAGTATTCCAAAGGTCGTAGGTTCGATTCCCACCGTGGACAGGCATATTTTTCAAGCTTGCTCGGTGTGGATATACACTCAGAGTAACATCACAAGCATCATATTCACCTGAGTACACTACACCAACACATAAAAAATCATGGCTTTTATGTTTTGCTTTTTAGCATTCGACTTGGTGTATTTTTACGTCGATATCCCATTGCGAGACTCATGCTAATTCTGTACATGGTAAGTTATATAAATCAAGTTGTATAAAGTGGCGGTTATTTGTGATCAGTTGGTGGTCGAGGGTTGAAACTTTGGCTGGGCCAAGATTTAGAGTCTTAAAATTGAAGAAGAAGATGCTCATGGCGTTGCTCGAAAACTTGAAATTTTCTTCATATTTCTCGGAAAATGACCTTGAGACACGACTGTAAAGTATGTGAAAATGCCACTGGTTGATCCAATTTTTGTTGGAGGGAGTAATGACATTCTCTGTCTCTGAGGAGTGAAGGGTCTTGTCTCCGCCACGCTCACATAACGTGTGGGCGGCAGGGGTGGCACCCACGGATTTTTCTTTGATTTATCATTGAAACTTTCCCGAGGGGAAGTGTCTAACCAACCAAAAATGTCAATTTTTTTCTTTGATCTATCATTGAAACTTTCCCGGGGGGAAGTGCATCACTTTTCGGGGGAGGTGCAAAAATTCTCAGGGGAGGTGCAAAACGATCTCAGGGGGAGGTTCGCCCTCAAAATCCGGTCATGGTTGTAACCACTAATCTAAAAATTAGGCCAGTGGTTGTATCTTGGACCCTGTGTCTATCTGAAATTGTTTTCTCGTTCAGTGATCACTAACAATTCCCCACGAATGGATCGTCCACCAGCAGCTAGAGACATACGATATGCGAGCTGATATCCAGGGCCGCAGAGAGGGGGGGGCAGGAGTTGCCCAGGGCCCCGAGGTGCTGGGGGCCCCTGAAAATTTTTTGTTGGGCCCCAGTCTTTTTTGTGTGTTAAATATTTCCGCGCAAAGGACAAGATATCTGTTTTTTGGGCTAAGTACCGAAATTTGACTTGAAAAAATGAGATAAAGTCCCTGGAAAGCAATGGACCATTTGCATTATAGACTAAATTTTGATCTAGACAAAAATTTCATCACAGCTTGAAAGAGCATCACAAAATTAATAATATTCCAAAGTTTCGTTCCGAAATGTTGTAAAATGCGGATAATATAGCCATGCCAAGTTTGCCGTTTTTCAGTCATTTTAGATTACAAACGGGAAATTGACAGCCCAATCGGGTGTTGGGGCATCAATTTCCCGTTTGTAATCTAAAATGACTGAAAATTGCAAACTTCGCATGGCTATATTATTCGCATTTTACAACATTTCGGAACGAAACTTTGGAATATTACTAATTTTGTGATGCCCTTTCAAGCTGTGATGAAATTTTTGTCTAGATCAAAATTTAGTCTATAATGCAAATGGTCCATTCCAACGTACTCGTCCGGAAAATTTTTTTACCTAAAAAGTTGTCGACGGGGGAGGGGGGTTCTCCGAAAAAAATGTTTTCCGAAAAATTTTTTAGATAGGGCCCCTAAAAAATTTGTCCCGGGCCCCCGCCAACCTCTCAGCGGCCCTGCTGATATCTTTCTCTGTTTCAGATTCTCCTACATTTATGGGTATTTATTGTGCTACTGACCTATCAACCAGAGATTCACTCCAATTCACCTGCTGGTCCAATGCCAAATAATCCACATTCGAAATAACAAAAGACGTATCCTTTTCCTACTGTATCCTTCGTTCTAATGGTCGTGTAGGTATAGGTCGGTTAGAACCAAGATGTGAATTTCTCCGTAAAAGACTATTCTGATAGTGTTTTACATACTGCAAAGAAGTACAATATAGACCTCATCGACTATTGTATATTTCATAAATAACATGCACTGTAAAACATGTTCAAACCAATCCAATATCGTCCATCATCGATGTTGGAGGAAAATTTTGAATTCTCCTGCAATCCGAGTTTGTGTTATCGATTTTTCATCTTCATGGCAGAAATAGACCTCAGAATTAGCCATTCCGAAGTTGATGAGTGGACTGGAGACGAGTGTTAAAAAGTGCCCAAATTAAGAAATGAACCAAATCACTAAAAAGACCACCTCAAAATTAGTAAGTATACAAAGTTTGAAGACGTTTCCATGAATACCCTTCGAATAATAAGCTTTCGAAAATTGTGAAATTACCGATTGAAAGATTGTTTTTGGGACGCGCGTCCCTCAAAACAAAAATTACAGTACATTTCATAGTAAATATCGCGATTTTCGAAAGATTTTCGATTATTCGAAGGGTATTCATGTGAACGTTTTCAAACTTTGTATACTTACTAATTTTGAAGTGTTCTTTTTAGTGATTTGGTTCATTTCTTAATTTGGGAACTTTTTAACACTCGTCCCCAGTCCTCTCATCAACTTCGGAATGGCTAATTGAATTCTTCATGCTCAAACTACTGTAGTCTATACCGAAAATTTCATGATGTTTGGAGATGAAGTGTCACGGGAGTTTCGGCGTTTTGAAAATTTTGTTTTCCCTATACATTTTACTGGAATTTTTGCTGCACATCATGAAATTTTCGGTATGGACAAATGGACCTATTACCTAATGAACATAATATTGATCTAGACAAGTCTAGACAACAATTTCATCTCAACATGAAAGAGCATCATAAAATTAGTAATATTCCGAAGTTTCATTGCAAAATGTTGTAAAATGCGGATAATATAGCCCTGCGAAGTTTGCCGTTTTTCAGTCATTTTGCATTACGCGAGGGAAATTGATACCCTTTTTCAGAAAGCGGTATCAATTTCCCGTGTGTATAATACAAAATGACTGAAAAACGGCAAACTTCTCAGGGCTATATTATCCGCAATTTACCACATTTCGCAACGAAACTTCGGAATATTACTAATTTTTTGTGATGCAATTTCAAGCTGTGATGAAATTTTTTTCTAGACTTGTCTAGATCAAAATTTTGTTCATTAGGTAATAGGTCCTTTGAACATGAAAGTTTTAATTCTGAGGTCCAGTTCTGGCAAAGACCTGTAGAGAGTGAGATGAAAAATTGATGACGTGAAGTCGGATTGGAGAATATGGTCATACTTGATCCAACATCTTGCACCATCAGCCAACATTACACAACAATAGGGTTGAATCAGCCCTATATATATATAAAAAAAATGTTGCATCGAATAATACAGGAGGATATTGGGCCAACGTGTTGAACTAGCTCTTAATGAATACAGCAGAAGTGTTTAAAAGCACTAGAAATTAATACTGTAAATATTAGAGTAAGTGCGCAATATATAGTGAAATTTAAATTTTTGCATTGCAAACCACAAGGTCTTACAATTCATAAAATATATATGATATACTGTTGATTTAGTATATATAGAGCTAATAGTATGTATGGTTCGAGTGCAATTTGAAAAGGCCAGCACAAGTCACGAGTGTCTGTTTTATATCAAGCCATTATTTATTAGTAATATATACAAAAAATTTTAATCACAGTAGATTAAACCAGAATACGTTTTCTTCCATCAGAAAACGATTTTTGGACAACTTGAAAAACATGCAAACATTTCCACCGAATTTTGTATGGCACCGAAATGAATTACAATTTGTAGCATTGTATTACAGTACAATAAATTGCTCTGGGCGCAGCCAATCAGAAATGAGATTTTTCCATGCATTTCATTATGATACAAAGCTGTAGTTGGTTGCCTGGGATTTCAAAATATTTTTGACAAAACTTTTTGCTTATATATACTTAATAAGGTATACACACAAGGATATATTTGGCATAGTCTGTATACGCGTTGGCATAATCCACTGGCATTGTGACATTCGCCGATCATTTAGCACTGTTTTTGTTTGCAATTTGCTTGTTTACTCAGGCGGGCTGCGTATCAGTTAACTGTCTGCTTGAAACGCATTAAAACATTGACAATCTGTGCGGAACCTTCTATCAATGTTACACGGTGTTTATATAGAAATTTCAAAATAGGTTTATCTGCAAGAATAACAGGTCACTGGAAATTTTTTTCAAAATCCTTATACTATGTAAATAGTATGGATCTTCGTTGGAAATAGTATGGAAATCCAATTTTCATATACTAATTCCAACTTCCATACTATGGATAAGTGTGGATAAGTATGGGTATACTATGCCTATGGATTTAATGATGCATTGCAAATTCCATAATGGTTTCACTATTTTTTCCAATTGGATTTTAGTGTATATATAGAGAGAGAGGATATTTATACACGGCGGCGCTAAGATATGACTTTTATCTTCGAGTGGTGAAAACAATATTTTACGAACGATCGCAGCGAGTGAGTGAATATTGTTTTTAACACGAGAAGATAAAAGTCATATCTTCAAGACACCGTGTAATGTTCTGTTTATTATATAGTCCCAAGCAAAAAATTGTGAAATTTCACGCTCAAAAGCAAATCGGAAAAAGTCACGTGATCGATATCTTCACTAGTGAACTGATATGGAAAATATCTCACTGTGTATTTTTCAGTATCTCACTCTCTACTATATAATAAAAGCCGTTATAAGCTGTGTATCGGTTCAATAACTAATTGGACATCCAGTAAGGTTATTAGTTTATCAGATAGTGCCAGACTGTGTAATACAAAACAATGTTTAGTGTAGGTATTTTATCATCCCTTAAGAATGGCCTTCGCCTTCTAGCCTAGGGGATTGTTCCTTATCAGTTTCGGGTCAGTAATGCACACACTTGCGGACGAAAGGGCTAACACATACATTGCAATTTCATGTCGAGAAAAGATACCAAGTTCAAACGCTGCGTTGCTTATCAAGTTATCTCTCATATGGTGAACGGTGAACCTAAGGGGCCGTTCACATTTAGCCCACTTTGAGAACGATCTAAATTAGAGCAATCTCAAACCAATCCGAGGCGGGGCCTAATTGGAGCTTTTGTGAAGTGTCGAATCCACACTTGCACAGAAATTCGAATTAATTAACGGAATTAAGTGAATTAATTACTGTCTGCTGAATTTCGGATCGATCTACATCGCTAGTATGAACACTCCCCCCCCCCCATTGGTTGAGCTTATTTGCAGTGAGTTCGGCATATGACTGATAAGTTCGATGTCTGAACTACTGCATACGCCAAACTTCTTTGAATAATTATAGATAGTAGTCGATTATCGATTTAGTTTCTATAATGCTCAGCTAGAAGTCAGTATAAACTTTTCGAATTGACACTAGCCACCATCAGAAGCCGCTACTCCGTATTTGAGTTCAGTATTTGAATAGACTCTTGCAATCAAGGCTAACATACTGTATTGCTATATCATGCCCTACAAAGGGAAAAGGTTCCATTTGTCCAAACAAATTTAGCTAATTCCTCACAAAAGCTAAATAGATATGTAGTTCAGGTTTCTAGAAAAGATTCTATGCAGGATCATATTAATCAAGGAGCTGTTAATTCTAATAATGGAGCCGGGCTGACCTGATTGACCGGGATGATTTGATTATGTAATCACGCTCTTTATCGTGACTTTGATAAACATCCAAAATGACATTTCAAAGTTGAATGAACAACTTGCATGTTTAATACTTAGACTAAATTTTAATCTAAATAAAGAGAAGGGAATTAAACACAGCAGCTAAAAAGAACATAATGAAATTAGTAAAATTGCAAAATTTAGTTGCGAAATGTTGTAAAGCTTGGAAAATTTAGTCTTGCAAAGTTTGCAAATTTTGTATATGTTTGTTTTACGTGCAGAAATTGTTACCATTTTCGGGCTCGAAAATGGTAACAATTTCCGCACGTAATACAAACATAATATACAAAATTTGCAAATTTCGCAAGGCTATATTTTCCAAGCTTTACAACATTTCTTAACCAAAGTTTGCCATTTTACTAATTTTAATAAGGTCTTTACGGGAATTTACTTTTTTTGCCTGGATCAAAATTTAGTCTAACATGCAAGTTGTCTATTAACTTAGTTTGATTCCAGTAACAGTATTCAAACGATCTTTCATGGTCAAGAACAAATTTTCGTGACACGATTTCTACGAACAGCCCCTAACTAAGGCCCATTTATGGATGTCTTTGTAAAACTCGAACATGTTTCAGTCAACCAATCACAGGACGGGATTCTCTCGGCGCATATTTTAATATTAAAATACGGAATAGTAGAAGCGTGCGGCCGGAATGTGATACGAACGAGAAATGATTTCGAGAATGCACGACACTTACGGAGCAACGCCAGAGAGAAGTATTTCTGAGTGTTTCCTCTTATAAATTGTCATGATACGGAAATAATTTTAGCGTCTGCACGTAATGGCGAGACAATGGCGGATGAACAGTTTTTTTTAACTCAGTTTAATGTAAATACCGTAGCTTTTAGCTAAATGCAAACACAAGACACAAAACATGATCCAACTGTCACAGCAGTAGTGTAGAAAGGTATTTAAAGTTAGGAGGACTGGAAACTAGGAGGTCTGGGGCATGTTCCCTCGGAAAAATTTGAAAAATTGAGGCTCGGAAATGCCATTCCCTGCACTTTCTGGAACGGAATTAAAGCATTTGGGCGACAAAAATGATGCAAGAAGTTGCTTCATAATTGGTTTTGGTCAGTTTGGATGACTTAGTGGGGGGCTAAAATCGTCAGCAAACTACCAGACGATAGTTAAACAAGACATATTACAATCTCGTACCCAGAGTATGCCCGTTTGCAGGTTAGTGTCATGCCCGCGAGATTGGACATACTACGACTTAATCTATTCCCAGAGCTGCTTATAGCCCCACCCCCTGTAAAAAGTGTTAATGATTACGGGTGCTTAAATAAGCCTCCCCAGTTTAGATTCACTTAACATCTATCCAATGTTGGTAGTATTGTTCACTTTGCCTTTTAGGCAGGATCTAGAATCTTCATTTTACTGTTATACTGTGATCGGTTTTGGTGGATTTAGCCGCCCAATTTTACTTCTGAGGGGAGGGGACTATAGCCCCCCTGTTCCGCCGCCCCCATGGCGAGGCTATGGAAAATGTTTTGGAGTATTAGGATTTTCATTGTGTAACAACTGTATTAAAAGTTTAACCAGAATATTCATGAATTTCCAACCAGTTCGCAAAATTGCCTTATTCAACAGCACCAAAAACCGCACAGTTCTAGTAAATTTTCTCTTGTGCAGTTATTACTTGCATTAATAAAGACAAGATAAAAGGATTACTGTCACAACATGATATCGTGGGCTTTTGTTGTTATTTTTATCTCGCCCATAATCAATAAATAACGATAAAAAGCTCTTTGTTTCGTACATTTCCAATAAGAATCAATTAAAAGAAGCAAGGATTCTCAAAAGGCCGATTTACATTACACAACCTTTTCCTAAAACTGTCGCATACAACCTGCTACACAATTATCTTACGTTGTTGTAGGTGAGTTGTGTTCTTGATTTACACAGATTACACAGTACCACTCAAGTTGTAAGCAGGTTGCATGCGACAGTTTTAAGCAAAAGTTGTGTGGTGTAAATCTGCTTCAAGGATGGCTTAAATATACGACGGTTCCAGATCTAAGTTCTTTGACTTTGTAGGTTTGCATGGCGATAAAACATATAATAGCTTTGTTTGTGGAAACACCACGTGATTTATTATTTATTAATTATTATCATATTATTAGCACTGATGAAGATCCGGGCTTACGGATCGAAAGCTTAGCAGTAATAAATTTACGTGGTGTTTTCACTCAAACAAAACTATTATAGGTTCCAGATCAGTTGACGATCAACTCGCCTGAACTCGGCCCATAAAATGGCCGCTAGCGGGAATTTAAGCCCACAATACCATGGTCTGACAATAATCCTTTAAAATATTAAGACCGTTGTCAACCGTTGACAGTTCAAAAATAACGAATTCGTTGTAATAAAATTATAGAATCATGCCAGAGGGCCTGTATATTAGTTGCATTTGTCGCAGCTGCTCTGGTTAAAGGTCTAAGGGGCCGATTACATGGAGCATTTTCAACCCCGGGGTTGAACTCAGCCCTGTTAACCGGGTTGAACTTTTTGCGATTACATGGACGATTTCAACCCCGGAGTTGAAACGTTATACTGTACGTTCTCGGCATCGATTCGCGGAAGTAAAAAAAGCCTTTATTTTGTTTTCTTGTAATAAATAGTCACTACCACGCATGCTCGAATAACTCATGATAATTTAAGCCCTGGGTTGAAACGATTACATGACAAAATTTTCAACCCAGGGCTGAGTTCAACCCCGGGGTTGAAATTTCAACCCTGCTAGCTGAAGTCCTGGGTTGAAAATTTTGTCATGTAATCGCGCGTTTGATTTTGATAGAGTTTTGTATTACAAACAGGGCTGAAATTTCAACCCGGTAAACAGGGCTGAGTTCAACACCGGGTTGAAAATGCTCATGTAATCGGCCCCTAAAAATGTATAAAATTTACACTCGGAATTTTCCATCTACAAAATCCTTCAACACAATGTTTTTTACACCCTGTAATGAATTACTATACATGAATTGACGTACATGCAGTCTTTCTACAAGATATAAAGTAAGACTAAATTAATTTTGTTGGAAAGAAGAAAGAAAAACCTTAGTTGTTGAATTGGTCCTAAAATAGGACCAATTCACAATTAACTTATAATTTTAATAACGAGTTTTTTGTAACAAATTTATAGGTCGGACAGTAGGACTGTGAATTGTTTTTTTAATACACTCCGTAGGGCATTTCCGACGTCACCAAAGGCACAAATTATCTCTTGTTGGAAAGGGGGGAGGGGGGGGGGGACTTTAAAATTAGACCAGCCACAATTTATAATGAGGTTGAGAGTATTTTCTCCAAATAATGACCTGTAGTGCATTCGTGACAAGGAACTCGGCTCAACAGTAAAATATTTTAATTTTATGTTGTTTTATGCAAGGTCACTTGTTGGACATGACATCCAATAACGCTCTCGGAACTTTAATTTTTGCAGTATCATCTGTCGTTTCTCATAAGCGCTCTTGAGAGTAGGCGGTTTTCAACAAAATCTTATCACCAAAGTACGCTTAATGGAATATTAACAATCTTCGGCTCTACAGCTAATGAAGCATACCCCATTATTGTAGTAATGTTCAATCAACTTTTGCATGGGTAAATCTATTAAGAAACGATTGTAACAAATTTCTCAAATATGGAACAGCTTTACACTAGTACACATGCAGACCCAGTGTTCGACAGACATTCTACTATATTACTCTAAGTTGAGTGCGAATAACTTGATAAAGCTTATCTGTTTGTATTTAATCCTATCTTAATAGCATTGTCCGTACTATTGATATGAAAAGCCAGAGAATTGGGGCGAATTGGTGCACTAGAACTGCCACATCACAGTGGCCGCCTTTTAAAACCATTTTGACGGACAGATGGCAAAACACTATTCACATTCTGCTGTATTTTATATCTGCGCTTTGGGAAAGGAATTCGACATAAATTTGCCCTACTTTTGCATTGAAATGCAAACCCTAACACGACACAATTAAAGCATTTCGCGTATCTGCATAGCACGATTATAGCTAGCTAACAGAAAATGAGTTTTCGACTGTTTTCTACACGCTTTACACCGGCCAGGTCCCATCTCCCCTGTGGTGAGCAATCAATAAAGCAATCATGACTAATAGAAGCTGCGAACACCCGTGAGGCCACAACGTTGCTTTATACCCTTTTGAAATATTAAAAGGATGGCTGTTATCATTTGCCTACATTATTTAAACGCTTCTGTCAGAAGCTGTGGAACGCAGTAACGCTATTTTGAGAAGCCAGTCCGTCGGGGAATAATACATTAACTACCAGCTATAGCCCTCTGACTTGTGTCACTAGGAAACCCTTGGAAGGCTCTAGACGAAGTTGCTTTGTATGTAGGTGATAAAAGGTCAAGTGAGCACAAAGGAGTACAAGTTTAAGCTTACGTTGTTTTCAAAGAGACATTGAATGAAAACAATTAAGGCCATCCATTGAATTAATCTGTACAAAATCGTACATTATTTGTGTACAAAAAATATGGGCCTTAAGTTTGTCGGCTAGTTTGTAGTTTTTTACTTAAAGTTCCCATGCGAATAAGCGATAGCTGTATGTGATGATTGTATCTAATCTTCTAAAACAGTGCAGTATGCGAATTGCTTCTTGTGATTCTCTGCGTTCGCGATAGGCCAGAATTTGTTATTTTATTCAGGTAATTGCCACGTCCTGTTGGTACGCATGCGCGAGGGACTTGGGGTGCCGCATAAATGATTGTGGTTTAAATTGTGTGTTTACATTCGTCGAGAGAGCTTATGTGGGCTGACTCGAATACAACCAGCTGCAGTGAAGAACGGCGGCAACCGATTTATGGAACGACAGACGGTTAGGCTTTAAAGTGAATAGTGATTCACTTTTTTATTTCGATTGTTCTGGTTGACAGACGGCACATTCCGAGCGCTATCTGTCAGAACGTTTTGCCGTGCCAGGTAAAATAACCAGCTACATAGGCTCTCGTAGCTCGACAACGTTCTACTATAATAATAGCAGCTGCCACGACAGCTAAACATCGTCTACTTGTTCGACAACAACAAGATATGGCATTTAAGTAGCGTTCAAGTAATACTTGTGCTAAGGTAAATTGTTTGTAGAGAAGTATCTCGTATTAAAATAATGGCTGTCTGGCTACATATATTGTCATGTATAGCATTAATCCTGGTATTTAATCAGACTATAGTAGCGACAAATGTGACGAACTCTGACGATGGGTGTCAACTGAATACAAAGTGCCATGCAGGAATCGTTCTACCGACTTGGGGAGATCCTGATGCCGATGTATCGACTGGCATAAGAGTCGCCAGGGCGTTTGTTTACTGTGTCCTACTTATGTATTTTTTTCTCGGCGTTTCAATCATCGCTGATCGTTTTATGGCATCAATCGAAATAATTACGTCAAAAGAGAAGGATATCACAATTACGGACAAGAAAACGGGCAAGCTACGCGTAGTTACGGTGAAAATATGGAACGAAACTGTCTCGAATTTAACGCTCATGGCCCTTGGCTCGTCAGCGCCGGAGATATTGCTGACTGTCATTGAAGTGTGCGGCAAAAATTTCGAAGCAGGCGAACTTGGACCGTCGACAATTGTTGGCTCGGCAGCGTTTAATTTATTCGTGATTATTGCGATCTGCGTATATTCAATACCGTGTGATGACCATCGACAGATCAAGCATATTCAAGTTTTTGCAGTCACAGCTACATGCTCGCTATTCGCTTATGTTTGGTTATATATTATAGTAGCTGTGAGCTCGCCAAACGTTGTGAGCATCTGGGAAGGCTTACTGACATTTGCGTTCTTCCCTCTGTTAGTTATTCTTGCTTGGGCTGCCGATCGTAAATTCAGTTTCTACCGTTATCTAAGGAAAAGAGTTCGCAGGCAAAAGCGACAGGGTGTTGTCGTCGTGCAAACCGGCGACTACGATGTCGTTGCAGTGAAAACAAAAGACGGGTACAGTCGGAACACTGAACTTGACGGAAAACCTTACGATCTGGAAAACGGAGACGTTAACGCGGATTTAGACGAAGAATCGGAACTTTTGAGTCATGACTTGACCGAAGAACGGCGTTTGAAAGCCATTAATGTCGTACGAGAAATTCGACAGAAGAATCCCAATGCAGATAAGGAGACAATTGATCGGATATTGGAGCAAGAGAATCTAAAAGCGCAGCCGAAAAGTCGTGCATTTTACCGCATCGAGGCGACACGCAAAATGGTCGGTAGCGGCAGTGTTCTGAAAGCCAAGCATGACAAATTAGAGCAAGCAGCACATTCTATTGCAGATGTCGACGTAGAAATGAACGAGCTCGAAGACCTAGAAAAGCAACATGTAGTACACATATTTTTCGACCCTCCGCATTACACATGTATGGAAAGTTGTGGCAGCTTGTTGCTCACCGTTATACGCGCGGGTGGCGACGTGGACAATACAGTATATGTGGATTTCAAAACCGAAGATGGCACCGCAAAATCTGGCGAGGATTACGAACGCACCGAAGGGACGTTGTGCTTCAAACCCGGTGAAACAGTGAAAACCATATCAGTGACAATCATAGATGATGATATATTTGAAGAAGATGAACATTTTACCGTGCGGTTGAGTAACATTCGTCTCGCAGGGTCAGATGGAAAGCCTGAGAGTTACAACGGACCAGCAGGGGTTCTTGGCCCTAACTCCACAGCTGAGATTGTGATCCTTGATGATGATTACCCTGGGGTATTCACATTCGAGAAGGGGAACAAAAGCGTACCCGAAGCTGATAGGGTGGTGGCCCTTACTGTGATCAGACAACAAGGGGCGAGGGGGATTGTTCGAGTGCCATACCATACCATCGAGGGGACGGCCAAGGGTGGCGGGGAGGCATTCGAAGATGCTGTTGGAGAGCTGGAATTTGACAACGAGGAATATAGGTATGAATAGATTTCCAATTTTCTGCACTTATTTGTAGTCTCCTAATCATATCATGCGTTTTCAAATATACTGAGATCTTTTTCAGCTGTACTGGTAAATTTGCAATATTGTTCCTCATTTTCCAATTCACTCACTTTTGACAGTATGCCATCTCTCATTTTTTTTAATTGAAAACAAGAAATGCAGTGCTAACTGTGCTAGCTGACAAAATATAGATTACAAATTTGTACAGCTAAACATCCAATGACATTATATTATCCATGTTTAAGTCTGTAATATTTTTGGTTTTTTATTTCAAACTATGTTGTCTGTAGTACTTTTTGACAGAATGTAGAATTTACGCCCCCTCGCTTTTCACACCGCTAAGCTCAAAAGGCGTTAAATTTTCAGAATCATTGTTTTGAATTCGACTACAGTGTATATTCCATCAATTTTATAATTTTTAATCCAAACTACAGTACTGAGTAAGCAAATCGTAACGTTTTGTCAAAATGTAGAGTTAAATCGTGATGGAAATATGTTCAGATAAGTCTTGATTTTGTCCCCTTACGTTGCATCGAGAATAGTCGAGTAGTTAAATTTTACCGCTTGATATATATATATCAATGGCTATTAATTCGCGACTATTCTTTAAAAAAAATATTGCCCAGTTCTAATTTGAGGTTAGGGAAAGGGCGTGTTGCAATTAAAATGTATATGCCTTGTTGTTCATAACTTTTATGTACACAACGACAACGTGAACCATCGTTCTAAAATCTACTATGGGTCTATATTTTTTGGACTCGATAAATTTATTCGCTTGATTGCCCTTGTACTGTGCTTGTACTGATTGTTTACCTCGGAATGCAAATTTTCTAAGTGCGTTGGCGACCGGAACTGTTTTTTGAAAAGTGAAATAATTCTCCCGTGAATAATGCTATTTCAAACAATTTTGCTGCCATATTTGTACCTTTATGAGCGTTTTATTTGTTATACGTTTTTAAATCCAGTGGAAAACAATTTTTCTGTTAGTTTTAACAATACTTGACACGTTTGCGGCAAAAAACATCTGTCGTATACGTGTCTAATTTTAGCGGCGATAAAGCAGCGAATTTCAGTCGAGAATATCTCGCCTATCGCCTCGGTTTGCATTGACCATTGTACCTATTATATTTACAAGCATGAATGTACAAAATCCAAAATGAACAGACCGCAGAATTTCGCCGAAGGTGCGGTTATATTGTTGCACGCATCATACCAAGCAGTTTTTATAGTCAAAATCTAAATTATTATACTCGCTTGGATAAATAAATGTATAGCTCGTCATTGCTTTGTCATGCTGTTTAAGAAATAACGGCGAAAATACGGATAAATTTCAATTGTTTTTGGCGTGTTTCATTAATTTCGCTTTTATTTAATATTGAACAGAAAAGTCGAGAAATCAAAACGAGTTTGAATTACCTCAATTGTCGTTTATCGGAAGCGTCAATACAATAACCAAAAGCATTCCCTAAAAACTTCCGTTGCCTGGGAATTTCAACAGATGTGCTGAGAACGCGCTTGACTTTTTGAGGCATTTTTAAGTTGATTCATTATATATGCCGCCAAACGAGCTCGATTTTCAAAAGAAAGTGATTTTAATTATTGATACGATCTGACACGTTGGCCTTTGAATCTGTTTTCGGTTTTGAAAAAAGTCCATGTACTTCGAAACCTGCTTTATAAAATTCGAGGGCTCATTTGTAATATTTTGAGGTTAATTTTGGTCAGTGTTTAATCAATTATTTGACAGACACAACATGGCAAAACATTCTGTCCACTGAAAAATATTGTGGCAAATTATTAAGAATTGCAAATTTTATAGAATGCGCTGGGACAGAACACTTTTAATCAAGTAAATGATGTGAAACCATGAATGCTAAATGATGTTTATTATTTTTCAACATCAAAACATTTGCAGAAGCGCTAATGCAATTTATTTTCACAATTGGATTTAGCTTTTATATAATAAATAGTTTTTAGAGATATTCACATAACTTTTTGAACACCATGTGACATGTATTGTGATTTGTGTATATAAAAAGTTTAAAAACATGTTTTAAAAGCCAGGGCAAATGAAAAATGTATACATAGAACAGTTGTCTCATTAGCAATTTTTGTGTTTCTTTATTGTCTCATTGGTATTTCATTGACCCAATGGATATTTGCATTCACATTGTCATGTATGGCTATATTTTGTTGTGTAATGGGTTTAATTGCGTCAAAACATTTTCCCCTGAATTGATCATTAAGTTAGATCGAAATTTCAATCTTTGCTATTGACCTTAATACTAATAGTATAAATGAATCTAAAATTTTGTGATGCCTCCAAGGCCAATAGCTCGGAAAATATATGTATGCATTTTATATGTCGTATCCAAGCATGGCATGCAATTAGCATTTTTCACAAGGACCAATATCTGTATTTTTTCGGGGTACTGTTTTCCCTCGTCGTGCTTATACATCTCGGAATTGGGAGAGGCAGTTCTCGAATCTCCACGAACATGTTGAGGAACAAGAATGAATATCCATAACATATCACAACAATGTAACATGCACATACATATATAATTTAATATCTCAAAACTTCATGCTGAGCTTTTCAATATTTATATATTGACTCGCATATATAAGGATAAATATTGTAAAAAAGCTTTTTGAATTAGTTGGCTCGTTAGCGCTTAGTCTGCGGACGCGAACTGTCTCTCGACCACAGAGGCACTCGTGCTGATCAACTTAAGGTGGCTCCCTACAGTTTTCACTTTAAAGCCGACCCTGTAATTTGGGTTTTAAGCCAGTTTTTAACTTCAAACTTATATCGAAACTTGGATATTTCGTTGTTTCCTGAGCATTCACACTTTTTGAGTTTTGAACGCAAAAGAAAATTTTACGATGCGGTATCTAAGTGGAGGACAGTCTTCACATATCACTGGGCGCCACCTTTAAAACCAAAATCAATTTTCCTCATTGCTAGCTAATGAGTAAAGCAAATTGCTCGCATACCCCTTCCAGAGTAGATGTTAATTGCCTTGTTTTCTTTGACTTTGTTTTTGTAAATATTTTTACAAATTAATTTACATACAATTTGGAACAGCCAGCTTACATCTGTTCAAGAGCATGTGAATTTTAGCGTAAACATTAAAAAAATAATTTTCTGGCCCTTATCTCTTACTATTTGAGTAAGATATCTTTGTTTTGGTCTTTCTAACTTCTTGACGGAGATATCATAAAAATACTTGGACGTTTTGACGTTCAAAGGACCTTTATTCGAAACGTCAAAGTTTCATTCACCCATTTCACGTATGCGATAAAAACGAATACAGTTTACCATTGAATGCTACCTACTGTGGACCACCACATTTGAGATACTTTTTTAGCAGTTATAGCGAGGTATATCTGCAAAATTTGTGTGGCAAGCATAGCTAAACATTTTCCAGTTTTTGTACTCATGTAAAAATCATGAAAGTTTTATTTCAATTTACAAAACATCCCACAATTTCAGTGCATAAAAACATGTTTATCATTTCGACAACCAAATGATCAAATTATGAAGGCAGGACGGGCGTACCTAATTTTTTGAGATTTTTATCACTACTGCACGTTGCATCTAGGCAATGGGGGGTATGCCAGTCCGGAAATCACTGGGACCTCCAGGAAAATTTTAAGGATGCATGACGCCTTTCAGATTAACTGAAAGTACAACCATGGCTGCCGCCCACTCATGACAAGAATTTTTTAACCGAATCTGGGTTTTTCCCTAGAAAAATAGAAAATAGTCTACAAGTGAATGATCAATTTGATCGTTTTATCGCACAATTCTTTGAAAAACACTCGAATATTTCATTTACATTATGAAATATACACAGTAAAACCAAAATAGTTCGTTTGTTTAATACAAATTTTCCCCAACAAATCGGTTATCACTTCACATTTTTACTGTTTATCACTGCCCACTTTCACTTTATCACTGCACAAATTCCGTCCACACAGAAATTAGGCATGAGTCTGACCAATTAGAACGCTACAAGTTTGTTCTAATTAAGTATACAGTAACAAACGTTCGAGTGGTGTATAAAGTTTAGTTCGGGGATTTTATACTGATTTTAGTTTGCAAAATCTCTTGCATATTGACTCGTAGCAAACATTTTCTTATAATGAAAGTTCTGAATGAAAAACTGGAGTTCATTATTATCTGTTGTCAGGTGATAAATTAATGGCAAAAAATCGCCATTTTCACATTTCAAAGTCCTTTCATTGTTGATTAAGAAAAATATGTTAATTTTTGTCTTACATGCACATAAATTTTGTCTGCAAACATAATTTGTGAAGAAAATCGGCTCGTCTCATGTCGCAGGTTAATGGACTTCGATTGATTAGTGATGTATTTTTGAATTTTCAGTGTTTGTATTTGGGTCAATTTAAATTCTGCACTTATAGCTGGGCGGTGTGCGCATCTGACTGCCCCTCCTAATTTCATGTAAAGTTGTTTGTATAAAAATTAATTAAATATGAAACCATTCTGAAACCTAAACAAAATAAAACATCAAGGGGCCATGACACCAATTTGCTTTAACGAACTAATTAACAGAGTTGTTTTTTGTTTAAATTTTGTGAATATGCTATACGTGAATTGGTTTTCTGTAGAACAATTTGCGTATTCTGGGATTTCTGTCTCATTTTTTTCACAACTTTAATGAAATCAAAGACTTGAAATTTTCAATATCCTTCGTGGATTTTGATATAGAGCAATCGCAGTTTACCGAAAATGAATTTATACATGGATGTGAAAGCTGTTTTCAATTTTTATTTCACTTTAATTTTCACTTTATAAATTTATGAAGCAAACCTTGAGCCAATATTATATCCTCGCCAAAATTTCGCCTCAGTACAGACAGTATACTATAACGTTTTTCAAAGTGCTTTTAATATCAGCGTAGCACACAATAGTGCCGAGTTGAAATTCGATGTTAATTTATCTCAAACGTGTCCGAACTTGCAATTTGAAGAACCTATAATTATTCATACTTTATTGCTGTTAAAGTACTTGTGGATCCGCGTATACTATAGAGAATGTAAATATTTACGAAATAGTGTTTGCGGTGAACATAAGATTTTGAAGTGTTTTGGAAATATTTTTTGTCGAAGATTCTTTGGTTTGGAAAAAAAATATAAACACTCAGTCTGTTGATATAAACACTTAATTATAGTATGCATATAATTGTGACAAGTTACGAAATTTACGAAACGTTTACAGTCTCTAAGTCTGCCTCTCAAGAGGGTTTTTATTTGAGAGTTATAAAGCCTAAAGGGAAAAGATGTTTCTATTTTATAGCTCTCAAATAAAAACTTCCTTTCCTTCTATAATTACTCACAAATAAAACTCCCTTTGTTTGATCAAGTCTAAGTCTCTTTTTAAATTTAGTTATAAATGGAACAATCATAAATACCATTTGAAGTTTTTTTGCAGAGGAAATGCGTCATCTTTTCTTTGTATTCAATCCTTTTTCATGCATGGTTCGTATTCTAACAAGTCTTGATGATAATTGAAATGGAATAATCATCCAAGATAGAAAACATGATGAAATGTGAAAATTCTTCTTTGTTTTTTTTATGCATCAATAATGTTTAGAGCCAGAAGTCATAAAATAGATTATTAAGTTGTTTTCTACCCAAAACGTTTCGAGGTAAATTGAGCTGTATGCTGTTTTTACTAACTTTAATAGATGATTCCCCTTATTACGTTTTCGTAGCGCTTTGCATTGTGGTTATAGTGGTATCACTGATAAAGATAGCGGCCTCGAATGAAAATATTGAATGTTTTCGCGAATATTTTGCTGTTGGCTATCGTGCACCTGACCCTAGCTTTTTTAAAAGTTCTTGCACGGGTCAGGACAAAAAATAAACCATCTTGAATATCAGTGATACCACTATAACCACAATGCAAAGCGCTACGAAAACGTAATAAGGGGAATCATCTATTTAAAACTAAATCAAATGCTACTCTTTGGACTTCCATGAGTACCTTTCCACGAAAAGTAGCATGCAGCAGCTGTATCAAGATTTTAAGTTGCTTCCTACAGTCAGCCATAAAGGGCTTCATACATATATATGAAATTTATGCTGAAAATCTAACGAACGTTCGTGATGAAATAAATAAAAATATATTTATTGGGGTAACTGCATGTACTGTGTGCCCACGGAGTTTTGAGATATTACAGATATTAATAAAATAAGTGCCTGCATGATATATCTTCCAGTTGGTAGAATCTTCTACACTACACATTGTCGTGACGTGTTTATTTTCATTAACTTTGAAACTGCAGGCCAGTCGTGCATTTGTCATACTCAACACTGTCAATCTACCCAGGTCTCCAAATGAGGTTGTAATTACACACAAATTTGATTTTAAATAGGGGTGAAATTTAATTACTCCGGAGCTATAAATATTAGATGCTCTGATTGTGTCTTTGTGCCATTCACAGCGGAGTTCTGTATCTTCGCTGTTTTCACAGCACGAAAGTGATTATACAGAATATTAATATAGCAGTAATAATCGTTTTGATGATATAACATTCGATGTTTGATTATATAACTGAATACTGTTATGCAAAATTAAACACAACGTGAAATGATATGTCAAAGAACAAACGATAAAAACAACAGGAATGTATTGACACGAAATATTGTGTTTTCTGACAAAAAAATCTGTTCCCAAAACTTCCAGTGTACTTTCTTCATTTCGCATCCAAAAGGAGTGAATTTTAGGGACCTAAATGTTACTTATAATGAAATTGTACTTTCGCCCTAAAAGACCAAACATGATCCCAGCAAACATGCATGCAGAAATGTGGAACAACATTGTTATCATGGATGTTGAGCAAAACAAGCATATGTAACAGGAAATTCCTTGTAACAAGAAATCCACAATATTCTAAACGATGGTTAATATGCCACAGGTAACAGAAATGCTACAATTCAATCTCTCAAGTGATTTGTGCAAACGACATGCCTGTGAGATAGCTGGAATACTCTTTGTTATTCCACTTAATTAAAGGAGTTTGATTAGTTTTGTACAGTATTGAGTGCCCTGTCATGGTGTTTCCTTGAGTTGTGACAGGCGTGATAAAATTAAATAATGAAACACGGTATCCCAAATTTTGCTAATGAAATGACAATCTTGGTCATAACTGGCTGACTACCGTTAATTCTTTGTACAAAATTCGATCAATTCCATCTAAAATCATGTTGAACTTGTGTCATGGTAAATTACCAAAAGTTGGTCTGGGGATATTCACCATATTGCGCTGGGAGAGAGGGGGTCACGAAGTTTGTTTTGTAAATTTAACTTTGCAACAATACGAGGAATAGTCCCATTGTAGAAGATATAGTAGCATGACGTGACTAAGTCTACGTTTACACACATACATGTATTAATCTTCATATTTTTTCATTTATCTTCATTTGTTTGATTTTAGTAAAGATATTCGTATTGTGATTGTTGATGATGAAGATTATGAAAAGAAGGAAACATTTCAAGTGTATCTTGGCCAACCATATGTCGTGACAGCTGATGGAGAAGAACCCCCTCCCTCGCCAGGGGGGAACACCCCTGAGGAAGAGAGGATAAGAGAACTGGGGAAACCAAGACTTGGTAAGTAAATTATGGTCCCCCTCCCTTGATGGATAAGAACTCTCCACCCCCGGCACGGGGAACGCCCATAGGGAAGAGATTATAAGAGAGCAGGGGAAACCAAGATTGGGTAAGCTGCTGTGGGACAGGTATCCTCTGATAGGCAGATCTCCCTCCCCCTGTGGGGATTGGGGAACAGCCTTGAGCTAGTGAACTGGGGATATCAAGATTGGGTAAGTTGGTGGGGCAGGTCTACCCTTCGTAACAATTAGTTTTATTCAAGGGACTATAGATGGTAAAATAAAGGTTGCTTAACTTGACTTGGTAATGAACTCACTGACCTTGCGTAATGCCTAGTTTTTAAAAACTAAATACTTTGAACCATATTTTTACATTTTCTGACTAAGTGACTTCGTTTATGCCTAGCTCTGTCAGTTCTAAACTCTTCTCTCAGTGATCCAATAAGGGTCATCCGTTATTTAAGTAAGCACTACAGGGGAATATGTGTCGATCGACTTTAGAAATGTTGACACTCATAGGTCGAAGAAAATCAAACTACATCGAGACATGCACAACGGAAATCTATTATATATAAATCAATATACATCGTTAGGGTTGAGGTAGGGTTGTCTGCATATATCGAGAAAATCCCACACATGATTGGTCTTTGTACACATGTGGATGGGTTTTTGTAGATGGAAATTTCGAGCCGAAGATTACATACAATTTTAGACCTAACCAGGAGCTGTTGTGAAAAATGCAACTGTATAGTACCTCTGGCAGGAATCAAATTTGCGGCCCTGCGATTCCGTAGCAGCGCTCCAACCAACTGAGCTACAGAGGCCAGTTGCTGAGCATTAACCACAAATTCATGTCAATTTGCGTTCGAAAATTCCATATACAAAAACCTATATACTATTAGTTCTATCGGAGGAGATGCCCCAAAATCTCGATATTTGAACACATGCAGAAGGATCATTCTCCACGGACAGAGGATAAAAATATCTGATCTTGACTTAGTTCTTATTTACATGGCTTCTCTAACAGTTTATAAATCATTAAATCATATGTCTTGTGATCCTTTCGATTAATATTTTCAATTAATGAATCATGAGAGAAATACTAGAAATAATGGATATAGTGTAATTTTGCCAAGAGTAAAATTAGTCTCGGTTAAGAAAGGTTTCTTCTACCAGGGAGCGTCAACTTTTAATAGTTTCCCTCTGCCAGTTTGACGGAAGAACACATTTTCATCTTTCCGATCGGCATTGAGGCAATTTTTGGAACTATAGTTCTTATGAACATATTATAGAACATACTATTAAATTAATTATTAGGGACCGGTCATTATTTATGGTGGGGGGTGGCACCGAAGAGAAATGTTTTCCGTGTCAAAAATTTTGCTGACCCAACCATTAAAAAGACAAAAATTTGATTACCCAACCTCAAATATCATTTAAAAAATAACTACCCACCCCTGGCCAAAAACTTTACAAAAGGATACCATTCAGTTGTCACACATGTCCTTCATCACTTCAGTGACATGAGTTTGATAACGGCTTGTGAAATGTTCTGCAGTCTGAAGTTTCATGTTGTCCGCACATGTACTTTCTTTGGAAACACAATTTGTTTTGTCAAAATGATCAAGATAGTGACTCTGATTGATTCACATATTGTATTGACAAATAACTGTTGACATTGCTTTTCAGTTTCCAATATTTCAGTGGGTCATACTTTGGAAATGACAATAAATTTTTATTACTCAACTCTTGAGTTGTTTTGTTTTTCATTTACCCAACTTTATACTTTCTCAAATTTTGTTTACCCAACCCTTTTCTCTTCGGTGCCACCCCCCGCCATAAATAATGACCGGTCCCTTAGTTAAGTATTACTAGATACAGGACCCTATAGCAGTGTACTTTTCACTGAAATGATTTATGTAAATACTGTTTAAATAAATTCTCTAAGTCTAAGCACCTAGGCTGGTTTCACAATTTTTCTTCACAAATAGCCTGTGAACAGGCTCAAGAGAGTTCAAAGAGAGCCTGTTCGCAGACTACTTCACAAAACACTTTATGCTTTTTAAAGGCGACGTCAAAATGATCGAAGTCTCAATCATTGAAAGCAAGGAATTCAAGAACACGGTCGACCGTCTTCTTGCCAAAGCCAATCTTGCTTTGGTCGTCGGAACATCTTCGTGGCGCGAGCAGTTCTCCGATGCCTTTACGGTTGGTGGCGACGACGACGACGCTGACGACGATACTGGCGAGCCGTCCCCACCGACATACGGGGATTATCTGATGCATTATTTGACCTTATTCTGGAAGGTTCTTTTTGCGACCGTTCCCCCGACAGATATCTGGAGTGGCTGGGCGTGTTTCGTCGTGTCCATTATTTGGATTGGTATTCTGACCATGTTCATTGGTGATTTGGCGTCACATTTTGGTTGTACCGTTGGACTGTCAGATAGCGTGGTCGCTATCTCGTTCGTGGCATTGGGAACTAGCGTTCCAGGTAAGTACTGACCGCTAAAAGCCCGGAGGCCTGTCATCCAAATTGAGATGAGTTCCTAATTTCAATTGGTATTGATTTTGGTGTTTGGTTTAGGGATAACAAAATTGTAGTCATGATCATGACCTCGTGTACCATGACTGTGAATTAAATTCGCTCGATTAAATGGCCTAAGATAAGATGGGCCTAAATTGTGGAATGCTTTGAACATTAGAAAAGAGTTTTGTTTCATTCGTCTGTCTTCTCGTGCCGGCCAACTTAAGTTGTTCAAAATTTGGCATTTGGGAATCGCGTATTTCATAGTTTCATAGGTGCTCCTAGTAATTATTCGAGCTGCTCCATTTTGTAATTTTTGTAGCTTATCCCGTTTTCTGCAATTATCCCACACAGAACTACAGTGATCAAACTGGGGGAGAATGATAGACGAGTATATGTCAACTACGACAACGTATCGTGTTGTGTGCTTGATTTACACAGTAAACTCGAGTTGTAAGTAGTTGCATGCGACAGTTTTAGGCAAAAGTTGTGTAGTGTAAATCAACCTTAAATTCCTTAATGATACTTTCATTTTCCCCCAATAAATATTTTGTAAATATTGAAACCAGTACAGCTCAGTGGTCGGAGCCCATTTCCTTGGTCTGTTTTTGGCCTAGTCTGTTATTATTTGTTATTGTATTGCCCAATTATAACTTTGTTTGTCTGTTTTTCGAGTTTGAATACCTCACAGGCATTCGTTGCGGATGTCAATAACTTGACATCCGGTGTCGTAATCTCTTAATAAAAGCCTAATGATCACCCTAACCCCCGCAACCATAGATATCTTATAAACGGACTCTCGTGAATTAGTCAAACCGCTGTTTTTCACCAACAACCCTTTCAAATTCTTTTTTCCCTTTCCAGATACATTTGCGAGCAAGGTTGCAGCCGTCCAGGACGAATACGCCGACTCGTCGATTGGTAACGTGACGGGAAGTAATTCAGTGAACGTCTTCTTGGGCGTTGGCTTGGCGTGGTCCCTTGCCGCCATAGTTCATGCGATTCGCGGTACAGAGTTCACAGTAGCAGCAGGCTCCCTGGGCTTCTCCGTGGTTATATTCTGTATCTTCGCTATCACTGCAATATTTGTGCTTATGCTGCGTCGCCACCCAGCTGTGGGTGGAGTTCTTGGCGGTCCTATGAAATATAAACTACCTACGACCATGTTTCTTGTGTTCCTATGGATGATGTATATTGTATTATCCTCGCTTGAAGCTTATTGCCACTTCGAAAGCTTTTAAGCTCGCGAAATTTTACGTTATGAATTGTTTTCGCAACAACCGTTGTTTTTGCAACCAAATTTTTGCTATATTGATCTCGTGCTGTTAAATCCGTTGTCATAATGCATTGTTGATTTCAAATTGTTGATACAGTTGACTTCTGAACAGCCACGTTATTACGGACACAAATATTAAACTGATTATTATTGCACGCACTGACGATTCGTCATCGGAATTGTAAAGGTATTGGACTTTCTGGAACTGGTTTTTAACTGACGGTGTTTTAGTGTGGACTGGAGTGTGAATGAGTGGTGGGCAGGAAAAGAGTGGATGGAACTGTAAGCTGGATTCTGATACTGGACTCTGGAACTGAAATCCAGCATCACTGAAGTACGATCACTCGTGTGTGGAGCAAAATAATTCGCGCAGTTTGAATGTGTTGGGAATTTTGTTGAATGTGGAGGGATGTTTAAGATAAGCTAAAACTAAACCAGGAAAATATTTCCAAATATACCGAAAAGAAGGTATGGAAAACCGACGTAAAAACACCGACCAACCTGTGTGCAAACTTTGTAATCTGTATATTATAAAACGAATGATAGAAAGCGATAGTCTTTGGAAATACAGTGGGATATATTATGGGCCGTTCACACTTAGCACATTTTGAGATCGATCTTCATTACAGCGATCTCAAACCGATCCAGGCCGGTTCCTTGGACTTCTTGTGGAGTGTCCATATTTCGACAGAAACTTGAATGAATTAACCGAATTAACTGCTGTTGATAAGCGGGGATTCAGCGTGAACCGATCCGAGACCACCTCTCGAGGTGGTCGTGTTTACATCGATCTCGAATTGGTCTCAGCTCGTTTTCGATCTGAATCCGCTAGTGTGAACGTCCCGATAGATTTATGTTTCGCTGTTCAAGTTAAAAACTAGTGTTGCCATCCATAAATAGCGAGACGTAAACCTATAACCATACAGTGCATGTGGAAAGGGCGGAAAGCCGTCATTCAAAATTTGTATATTACGTTAATCTCTATTACTCATGAATGCTGATTTTGGTACAAGTTGTTTGTAAATTTGACGTCATCTTTTTTGTCTTGAGTATCTGATTGTGGTAACCGGTAGCCTGCGAACAGGCTCTCGAGCTGCAGGCTAGGTAACCGGCAGACAACAACACAACTCGAAGCAATCCAATATCAAAATACAAATTTTGGTTGCGTTTTCTTTTCCCGACACTGTGCTTCCAAAGACTAAATAATACAACATTGTCTGTAAATACAATAAGCTTAAGGCAGGAATACCTCAAGGAATGGACAAAAAGTACAAAGAAACTGCAACTGAAAAGATGTTAATTATTAAGTGTGGGAGAAAAAATGTAATGAACGTTGTGAACATATATATAGTGTAGCGGTCGTAGATATATATATTACCAAATTATTAGTTGATTTTAGGTCTGATAGTCCATCAATTAATTGAATAGTCTTATGTAGTTAGTTATGATTGTAATCTCAATGAAATCAAAATTCAAGTGGTGTATTGTTTTTTTATTGGGTGGGGTGTAAAACTATCGTAGGGAGAGGGGTTGTCCCATGTCCATCTACTCCTTAGTGAGGTGGGTCACTCCTTAGGGGGGGGGGGTAAAAGTTTAAGGATTAGTGTCGCATGGTATCGCGGGTTCAGTTTGTTGTTTATAACTTACCCAAAATCAATAAAAAAGTAAAAAATCCTTGCTTGCTACATTTCCAAAGTAAGAATCGGATGAAAGAAGCAAGGATTCCCAAAGGATGGCTTAAATATACGACGGATTACAAAAAACGTTGCCAGATCTACTCGGCCCATAAATTTAGCCGCCAGCAGGAATTTGAGCCCGCAATGCTTAAACTAAAACATAATATAAAGATTTAAAATTTGAGCCGCAGAATTTTGTGAAAATAATTTCATGGAATATTTAATATAGAATGGTTATTCATCACACTATCACTGATTCAATTCCTTGCACTAGTAGTCTACACACAATCAAATTTTACAATCAAAGTAACTTTACAAAATTTCAACTAGATTAAGTTATCTATAACTATGTAAGTTATACGTCTTCGTGTGATTGCGTTGCAATAACGTAGTTCCAGTTACTAAGGTCTCGCTGTTCATATGTGTTGATTTCCTCCACAGTTAAGAAGGGGTTCAATTCATCTTTGTGGCAAGTCGGTTCAATTTAAGTCCGGTTCATCGCTAATTCCCTTCTTTATTTTCAGTAAAATTGTCGTCAGCCACTGATCTAACCTTGAGATGCTGTCGTAGTTTTTCACCTAAAAGCAAAAAATATGACAATCTAACGCCTGCATTCTAAAAGCTCACTCACACTCAAAGAGTGGAGGTTCAACCCGAGCTTCTCTTGAGTGTCAATGCTGTTTTTGAATAGCTGAATGATTAGTGTCGTACCCATAGATATCTGAGATATCTATGGTCGTACCTTTAAGGGACTGGTCATAATTTATCAGGGGTGGGGAGGTGTAATTCAAAATTTTAAGGAATGATATTTTGTGACCCTGCTTTGCCATAACCCGGAAAAATAATGCCCCCCCCCCCCCCCCCCCCTCGTGTCAGTAAAAATGTACCTACCTACTACTAAACCCTGCATTCAATAAATTTTCTAATTAAATTTATATTATACCAATACATAGTCATATATAAAACTTTAGTTTTTTCAAACTTTTCATTCTAAGTTTAAAGAACCAATTTTTTTTTCACCGCAACTCAAACAAAATGTGAGAAAGCATGTATAAAACAATTAATTGAACTAAAACAGCAGACCCCCTCCCCACCTTCATAAACTGACTAATATTTTATGAACCCCCCTTTTTCCTAGCTAAAAAATATGTGACCCCCCCACTGTTTCCACCTCCCCACCCCTCCGGCTAAATTATGACCAGTCTCTTA